CTCTCCTCCCCTCTCTCCAGCACTGAGAGTGTGACATCACTTCCTGTGGAAGAGGCCGACCATGATGACCAGTCATTCTGATCACTGATACTGAAGCAACTTCACGTTCTTCACAGTCAACATGTAAAGGATGTCTTCATGTGTCTCCTTGTAATACTCGTGTCTTCTTCTTTCCTCGCCTACATGTGTCTCCTTCTTTGCATCAGTTACATCCTCCTGTTGGTCTTTATCTTCCTTTCATCCTTCTTGTCCTCCCTAGGTCCTTATCTCCCCCACTTCCTCTTTCTCTTCCTTGTGTCTTTATGTCCTTCTGTCTACATCCTTATTTCCTCAGCTGCAATTGTCCATCTTTCCTTAAATCCTTCACTCCGTCCCTATGTCCTTCTTGCCTTTCATGTGTCCTTACCTCCTTCCATACATCCCTTTTGTCCTGACGCAGTAGTGAGGACGGAAATAATTCTGTCCTTTGTCCCTTCATTTGTTTTCTGTCACTTTTAACTAGTTCTACCCTTCACTGCCTCCTTCTCTCCTTCACCACATCCTTCTCCCCATACTTCCTTCCTTGCGTCCTTCCTATCTTTCTTCCTTCAGTTGCTCAGTAACAAGGGGAAACCATTAGAGACATTTCCAAAAGACCAACATGAGAGGACGTGTCTTTTTATTCCAAGTCTCACAGTCCTTCCCTTCCTTTGCTTGCTTCCTTTCGCCACCTCCTCCAGGAGGGGAGCAGAGGGACGGAGGACGATGGGACGATCGGTTCAGGAGATCTAAACCCCCCCGTTTCTTCAAGACTTTGACAAATACTCGTAAAGTCACTTTCCGCTGGATGCGAAGCTTTGAAACGTCGTACGAGAGACGACAAGGAAACAAGGAGGCGCAGGAGGTGAGAGCAGAGGAGGGAGGAGGCCGTTAGTGGCGTCATGCTGTGACGCGACCACGAGGATCTGAGCGGCTCAGAATGATGACGTCGCGGTTCACGTCCGAGCAGCAGGCCGATGGCCTGGACAGGGTAGCTCGCTCTCCTACGAGGTGGGGAGCGTCCAAACCAGCGTTTGTGGGACAAACAGGAAGTTTCCCACGAGGAAACCTTTCAAAATAAAGAGACGTTGACTACATCTTTTCTGCGTCCTTCTTTAGTATCTTATATCCTTCTGTGTGCCACTAAGTATTTCCTGCCGGTTCCTCTTCCCTTAACTCCTTCTCTGATGTCCTTCTTGCCTTCCCTACGTCCTTACTTCCTACCGTTCATCTTTCGTGCCCCACACATCAGAACAACGTGATATCGTGAGAAGACACCGAGCAGCGAAGGAATCAAAGTCCATTAAGCTCAGAACTTCTTCTCCAGGATCGGAAGGCCGAGAGGCCTCGGGAGTCCTTATCGCGTCCCGGGGACCAGTGGACAGGTGCGTTGGACAGGTGAGAGGAGGGAGGAGACTGACGCTTTGCGTCTGAACGAACGGGCCGGGATGAGACGCCAAAACCAGCTGGTCTCCTCCCAGTGAACAGAACCAGTAGCTTCCCCCTTCAGTCCAAACAACAAGATACAGTGAAGAAAGCAAAGCAGCGCTGGGGTCGTTTTTAACCTGGTGGGAGAGACTGGGACCAGTGGAAGCAGCAGGGCGGCGGACTGGGAGCGGACCGGGAGCAGGGAGAGGTGTTGGCCTCTCCGCATGCAGCGGGCGGAGCGAGGCCTCCACAACAAAAGCTCGGAGAGACCCTGGGAGTCGCCTCCCTGCCCTCCTCATCCTCTCCTCCCTCACAGCGCTGGAGCGGCGTCACAACCGGCGGATCATTAGAGCTGCATTCCATGCAGGATTAAACCACACACACACACACACACACACTCTATCATATACACACTAAACAGCAGCCTCGGCGGTTCCTACCACATCTCTTCTTCTTCTCTTCAGTCCATCTCGTTCCCTTCTTCTCCCCCTCAGTGTCGGATGTTGGAGGATGCAGAGAGGCAGGGAGGGAGGAGGGGGGGAGGGAAGGGAGGTGTTTTTAGATGTTGTGGCAATCCCACTGCAGAGAGAGAGAGAGAGAGCGAGAGAGAGAGAGAGATGATGCTAGCAGAGAGGATGCTAACGCTAAAGTAGCCACCAGCTCGGTGTGGGACGGGAGGACGGAGGGACGGGAGGGGGACGGTGATGATGCGGCACCTTTCGGTGTGGAAACAGAGAGGGAGAGGGGTGGTGCCCTGTTGCCTTGGGAACTGAGATGATGTGGTGGGGAAGGTGCAGCCGTGCTCTGATTGGCGGACAGGGTGTGGCGCTCCCCCTCCCCTCCCTCGGGGAAGGGGAGGAGGGGATATGACAGGGCAAAGGCCTGGACGCATGTATATAAAGGCTAGGTGTCTTAGGGTGGAGTATCGAACGTCCGCACATCTGTGACGTTTGTAACAAATCAAACCGTTTAGACATCAGTTGACAGTTGAGCAGGTTATGCTTATTTAAAAGTACACGAATCACTACCAACACAATGTTACGGGGGATTAGCTGCCCGTACCAAGATGGCCGCCACGTGCGGACGTTCCACACGCCGCCGTGAGACATCTAGCCTTTGTATAAATGTCCATCCGTAATTCCCGGATGTGACTCGCCCCGCCCATTTTACCGGGCACGCGTCCGCGCAGGCTCGTCCGGTCTCGTGAGAGCCAAATGTCCCAGAATTCATTGCACCTCAGCAACGACGGAGGAAAATAAACATTATATGTTATAAATTCCGGATTTACGTCACGGAATGTGATTTTCTCCGTGGATGTGGGAGGTTTACGGTCTGCTTACCGGGACCGGCTGACTCCTCCAGCACCGGGAAGACCGATGTTGTCCACCGGAGACGTTCCGTCTGTTTGAGGACGGACTTTACATTCAGAACGTCATGATTAAATGTAGCCGTAACGTCGTGTCCGTGTCCACAGAGCGCAGCTTGTGCATTAAAACTATGATGTCCTTTTAATCAAGGGACACGAGGACCGTCAGCGAGACTCTAAACCGGCAGCAAACGCACCGCGGGGTCGGCGGTTCGAACCCCAGCTGCTCCGTGTCTCATGTCAAAGTGTCCCTGAGGAAAATGTAAAATGTTAAAACCAAGAGTTAAAAAAGACAACGTAAGTCGCTTTAGCGTCTTCAGTCCTTCATCAGACAAGACGACAACACAAAGTGTCCCATGAGAGTTTTAGTGTTGAGGTGGATGAGCTCTGTGTGTTTGTCCTGATGAAGATAAAGA